CGGAAGAGCAGAGTCTGTGGTGAGTCTCTTCGGGGGCTGTGCTGGACGTGGATGTTCTCTTTAGAGGGTGCTCTCCCTCCACGGTAACGTGCTTCGACCTGTCCGGGGTTCACTCGCCCGTGAAGCAACCGTGTAAGGGAGCTCGTAATTACATACCCAGATGTTTACTGCTCTGTAGCTCAGCACTATGGATTCCTGAGGTTCGCGAAGCCGTAAGGCTTCTGTGTACTTCTCGTACAAGAAAGAAACATTAATCCACTCCTGCCGCTTATAGTATAGTGAAAGTTGCTTGAAATAGTGGTAGCTGCTGCTGTAGAATTTGCCAAGGACATGCAGGAATATCCACAATGCAACTTCTTTTTGGCCGTTTTAGGTGCTTTTTACTGCAGGCTTTCTCCAAAACCTGGTTTTTCTAAAAGTGAACATAAAAGTGACAATTTGAAAGGTACTTAGGATGTTTTACTATTGCATTTGAAAATGAATGGTTAATTGAATCTTAGTTTGTGCTTTGACTGTATACGGTTTTTAAGTTTTTAAATCTTAGCTTAAAACACAAAATAAAATTCCTGTGCCTTAAAAAGGAGAGGATAAAAGCAGCGTTTATTGATAATACTGCCTTTTCACCACTTGAAAAGTGAGTTTGAACTACAGTTTAGTCCTTTAAGGAATTTGAGACCTTCACCCTTGTGCTCCTTAGTGACCTTATTGGGACCAGGTGGGAAAGACCTAGTCAAAGAAATGAGGCGGGAAATTCTCAGTTCCCTTTTAAGATCAATTCCAAAGTACCAGGTGACTGCAGTTTCTCCCGTGGACATGCCAGGAGTAACTTTCCGTTAAGTTGTGCGAAACGACTGAGTGCCCTGCATGGCTGTTGGCTTATGAATTTGGAAACAATGTTTTATATTTCTGTCCTAATAGTAAATTATATAAAAGAACAGTGTTTTACCTATACATTTACAGTAGTGGCCTACGTGCAAACTTCTTGGGTCGACCGAAATAACTGGATTCAATTACAATATTAAAATAATGTAATCGGAAGTCATGTTAACCCTCTAAAGCAGAGCCATCTTTTCAGGTGGTGGTTGGTACACGTAGAGAACGACGGTATTTGTAGGGTCCCCGGGTGGAGGGTTTGGCTGTGGAACAGCCCAGTGTGGCGAGGCCCAGACAGCCCCGGGGCACCTGCCTGAGCCGTGCAGGAACCGACGGGTCACGTTCCTTGTCTCACTCTTGAGCCACAGACGCTCTGAGGCTCCCGGGGAAGCTGCCCCTTCGCCCTGGAGAACCCTCCTCGCACCCTGGGTCGTGCGCCCACGCTTCTGGCCTCCAAAGGCCTCCTGCAGCCCATCTGTAGGGCCTAGTTCACAATCGGTGTGGTTTGCTTCCTTTACTTTATGGAGAGTGGAAAGATAGGTGACACAGTGTTGTTTGTTTGT